CCTACGCTATACAGCTCTGGGGGACTGCTAGCAACTCAAATATTGAGATACTTCAGCGTTACCAATCAAAAACTTTGCGACAAATTGTCAATGCTCCGTTTTACGTATCTAATGCAAACATCCACAAAGATCTGAATATTCCAACCATTAAAGAAGAAATAAAGAAAACTAGTAAGAAATACATCGACAGACTCCACAACCACGAAAATAATTTAGCCTTAAGTCTATTAGACAATAGCATAACAGTAAGAAGACTGAAAAGATACCACATTCTCGATATCCCTGATAGATAAATTTAACAAACTAAAAAGATGTTATATATAATAGCAGGGCTCATTGGAAAACTGCTATTTCTGTTAATTGAATATTAATTATACAATTTACTTATTGTTTAAAAACAGATTGTAAATATAAAGAGAGAGAAAAAAAAAAAAAAAAATGTGAGCACAAAAATACCCCAGAAATATATCAAAAATAATATACGTTCACACTTCCATATATACTATAGATAATAAATATTTACCTCAATTTTGATGTTCTGATTAATATTACCATTTAGTTTAGACTTTCAGAACTGAAAGAATAATTTTATGCGATTGATGAATAAATTTGTTGCTTGTTAATCGGTGGTACGGGTCTCCCTCTCTGCCTGTCCCTCTGCTTGCTGTCTCTCTGACTGCATATGTACATAACTACATACATATGTACATACCTACATACATACATACATACTTTTGCTACATAATAGTAGTGTTCTGAAAAAATTAACATTTAAAAAAAAATTGAAAAACAAACCTTCCGCGTCGACAAGCAAACGTGCACTGAGAATTGGGGCGGACGAGGCCTCCTTATATGGTTGCTTATGTCTGTGAACCTCTTTGCCTGCCTGTCTCTCTTTCTTAGCTCTTGAGCAACTTCTAGAATTTCCTTCAGAATTCCAAGCACTTAAATTCTGTAGAACATGTCATAGCCAACATAAAGAAACGGAAGAAGCCTAAGCTTTTTTTCCAAATTGGATTAGATTTCCCCGACCTGCCCGAATGCTTAAAGGGACTTACTCCATTAGAGGAACGACTGATTTCTACTCGACTTTCTTTTATGAAAATTATTAGTATGTTACGGGGGGCGAGGCCAAAATGGCATTAAAGGAGCTGTAGTAAACGTCCCTATTTTGATGGACACTTGCGTGAAAGATTTTCCGCGAACCTTCTATGAAGCCTAGGTTGTTCAGCTCCACCTGAAACGTAGACAGTGTTTTAATCATGAGTTCATGGCTGAAACCATTAATGGCTTTTAAAGTTTTTGAAGCCACTTTTGAAGTCACTTAATTACCACAGATCTTTATAAAAAGCATGATGTTGTAGTTAACGAGCAATGGATGTCAAGTTTTACATCCGATGTTGTTCAATTTATATCATATCAGGCAGACGCAGCCTTATTAGAATGGATGCAGAATAGAAATAGGAATGTAGACCCCGAGCCAGCCCATCCTGACGACGATTTGGAAGCTGAACAACTGAAATTCTTCTTCAAAATAACATGGTGCTAGCAATAGCTCCAGACGAAGGCCGAAGACCACTCGATATGATTTTAGATATTGACTCGGAAAAGTTATCGTTTCCAACCATTTATGCAGGCGTCAAGAGACCATGCTCAGAAAGTTATACAACCATAGTTAGATCGGAGCTTTGAAATGTAGATAGGAGAGGTAGAACTGATAAACTGTTTTTCAGTTATAAGAAATTAGAACTCATTAAGATTCGTAATAATATTTCAATCTGCTTACGTAAGCGGAGTACTTCCAGTGCAGAAACGGCAGCTAACGCACTTAATGAGAATTTCATAGGGGGTCTTATAAACCACGATGAAGGATATAGGGTTCTTCGGGATATTCGGGATATTCGCTCTTCTCCGGCTCACTGGGAGGATGAAAAGAAGAAGGTTATGGCCATGATTCGTCAGTTTGGCCTGCCGAATTTTTTCATCACTCTGTCTGCTGCTGAAACGAGGTGACAATTAGCGAAGAAGAGATAATAGGTTTAGTACATGACGAAAAAGCTCGTCTTATTAGGGTATTTTGATTATAGGTATCGAGAGATTTTGAAAGTGATGAAGAGTCCAGAGGGCATTTTCGGAGAAAATTTCGTCATCAAATTCTATTGGCGTGTTGAATTTCAACAAAGAGGTTCTCCCCAAATACACGTCATGTTTTTGCTGAAAGATGCCCCAGCAGTGGACTTAAATAGCACTGAGTCAATTTCAATAGCTAATAAACACATTACAGTAGATTTAACAGACTCAGAATTATATCCGTATGTTGAATACCAAAAGCATAATCACACTTAAAGGTCATTTCTTAAGGCAGCCAATAAAAGTGGAAAAGAAGTGTGTAGATTCGGTATTCCATACCCTCCAATGCCCCAAACGGAGATATTAAGTCGACTGCCAGAGGAAACTCCAAAACTTGACTTTCGCGGAGGAAACTTTAAGAAAATTCAAGACATACTAAGTTATATTCAATCTCCTGACATGATTGATCTCTTGAGCATATTTGAGAATTTTCTTTCGCACGAGCAAGTGAGCCTCAACTACGAGGACTACAAATATGCACTATGTTCTGGTTTAAAGAAACCAACAATTTTTCTAAAGAGATCATTTGCTGAGATTTGCACCAATGCTTATAATAAACACATTCTTTCAATGCAAAGGACCAATATGGATATCCAATAAATTTTGGACCCTTATGCGTGCTGTAGCTATATTATTAATTATATAAATAAATCCCAAAGGGGTATTTCAAAGCTTACGTCTAGGCATTGAATTGTCCGGAACTAGCAACAAAAGTGTTCAAATAAATACTTTCCCTCCAGAGCAACGAGTTCGAATGCTCAAATCCACAAGCATCCTACAAAATATGAATCAGGATTCCACTGACATAGTCAAAGGATTGCTGGAGCGGTATAAACAAAGACCAGATTTTTTAGAGAGCCTGTGTTTAGCCGACTTTGCAGCAAATTATGAATTTTCCAAAAGCCTTAAAAGAGCTGGCCAAAATGACGATGAGGAGGACGAGGAAAATGAGGCCCTAGTAGATGTTTTTATCCCTCTCCGCGATGGTAGTGGTTTTATGAGGGAACGTAGCAAGCCCTCTATTATTAAATATTTTAAGTTTAATATAAACACAGATAGGTCGAACTATTTTAGAGCATTAGTAATGCTGTTTTTTCCGTGGAGAGATGAAGAGTTAGAGCTGACAGGAAAAAATTGCGAGGATGTTTACAGGGACCATCAGGTATTAGTTAGGTTGAACTTCCAGAAGTTCAATGCCCTAGCAGACTTAGAAGACGTGCTTAGGAGGGCCATGGAGGACGAAGCCAATAGGGTGGAAAATGTAGACGAAGAGGCAGTTGATCAGGAAATCGATGAGGAGTTTAGGTTGCTAGCGATTCATGAAATAAGTTCTCAAATAAATGTTCTGAACTTGTATGACCAGGCTTCGACTAGTGAAGCTTCCTCCGATTGTTTCCCTATCATGTTTAGGCAATTTAATTCGCTCGCTTAATTTGAAGCACAAAACTTATCTCACACATGTTTTGCATAATGTGAGATATAAGTCAATTTTTTATGAGTTTGTAGGTGGCTGCGCAGGCGTCGGCAAGAGTATAACAATATCTACCATCTTTCAGACTATTTCCTGGGAGTTTAATCGTAGGCCAGGATCTAACCCAAATACTGTTAAAGTAATTCTGTGTGCTCCCACAGGAAAAGCTTCATTTGGTATTGGGGGTGCCACACTTCACTCATCGTTTTCTTTATCTCTAAATCAATCCAACCATGCTTTTAAACAATTGGACCCAGATTTATTAAAGTCCTTTCGTTCAAGATTTATTGATCTTAAAATCCTAATAATCGACGAAATTTCTATGGTCGGTGAAAAAATGTTCCCATATTAGGATATGCGCCTAAAGCAAATTTTTTCAAGTCCTTTTGGCGGCGTTTCTGTTATCGTGTTCGACAATCTAAGGCAGTTATGTCCAGTAAGTGATCGATGGATATTCAAATCCTCATCAGGAGTGCTTAATCCATACAGTGCTATTGTTGGCTCTAGTCTCTGGGATAGCTTCAAGTTTTTCGAACTTACAGAGATTATGCGACAGCGAGATGACCAACCTTTTGCAATCGCACTAAATAACATGGCATCGGCCGAAATGACGTAATAAGATATTCAGTTGCTTAGAAATAGAATAGTTGACGGCAGTCAAGCAACAAGAGATGCGATCCACTTATTTTATAGCAATAACGAGACAGATAGGTACAATAGGGAGAAGCTGTCGTCAATTACGGCTGCAGAATATACTTCAACAGCTTTAGACTGCATCAAAGCCGAACATCTTAGCTCAGAGATTAAAAGTAGATATCTTGAGGTTGTCAAGAGTTTTAAAACTTCATGTACACAAGGTTTGTGTACTTCATGGGTTCTCAAAACCACGGCTAAGTATATGATGACAGTCAATGTAGATGCATCAGACGGCCTTGTTAACGGAGCCACTGGTGTTTTAATGCAGATAGATCTCAATACATCCAATACTCCCCAACTTCTTTGGATACATTTTCTCGAGGAAAGCGTAGGAGTAAACGCACGGTCGAAACGCACCCATTGTAACAAGTCTTCATGGACACCAATTCAGAAAACTACAAAGAGTTTTCAATATCACCAAAACGAACAAGTTACTATTGACCGTAAACAGTTTCTGGTTGTAGCTGCAGAAGCTATAACTATTCATAAAAGTCAGGGAGCTACATACAGCAAAGTTGTCGTCCACACTTCCTCCAATATGAAAATAGAAACATTGTATGTAGCTTGCAATAGGGCCACCAGTGCGAATGGACCTTATATCGTTGGGCCTTCATTCCCCCCAGGCCCAAGCAGAATTGTCTTGTCGCGAGAGAGATGGAGAACTTACGTTCCACTAAGTTACTTCACACCCACTTCGATTGTTTACTCAATCCCTTGTCGTTTTTTTCTATAAAAGGACTTTTTAAGAATTTTTTTAACCCGTTTATTTTTAATGGTATTGTAGTGCGCTTGTTCATAGCTCAAAATAATAAAAAAAACTGTAAAGTTAAAGTTCAGCCTGAAACTATTCTACACCAGTACATCTAGTAGTCCAATTCTGGTGGAAGCTGAGCTTTCGCACGCCCTCTGGTGGATGCAATTCACCACAGTGGGCAGTCAATATTTTTATCGAATTTCGCTCTGACTGACAGTCCCAATTGCTGTTTGTTTCCCACTGTCATTTTGACAAACAGAAAGGGGACCGAAAATTAGGCTGGCAAGAGCTGATTTCCGGAAAAAGCGGAGCGAGGTCTTTTCCTCGTGGTATTCAAAGAGTACAGACGTACATATACGTTGCGACCACGGCCATATGGAGCGAACATAAAAAGAAGTCAGAAGAGGTTGCTGCCAGTTGCCGGAAGAGTTCCGAATAAATTACCCACGGAACACCGGAGAAATACCTACGGCCCCTTTATTTGATGGTAAACAATTTTTCTTATAATTTTCTCTTTATATACATACATACCCATAT